TGGGCAGCAGGTAAACACGCTGAACGTGTACGCCAAGTCCCAAAGTCTGGGTAATGTGCTGTGGACACTGTCCGGCAACCAAGGTATGGACTGGCAGATAGCACAAGTGACCATTCCGAGAGGATCAAACTACAACGTGAGTAATGAGGAGTCTCTCTTCCTCTCCCCCCCTCTCTCTCTCTTTCTCTCTCTCTCTCTCCCTCTCCCTCTCTCTTTCTCTCTCTCTCTCTTTCTCTCTTTCTCTCCATCCATCCCCTCTCTCTCGCTCCCCTCTCTCTCTCTCTTTCTCTCTCTCCCTCCACCTCCCTCCTCTCCTTCTCTCTTTTTCTCTCTCTTTCTCTCTCTTTGTGTCTCTGTCTGTTCCTCTCCCTCTCTCTTTCTCTGTCTCTGTCTGTCTCTCTCCTGTCCTCCCTCTCTTTCTCTCTCTCCTCCCTCCCTCTCTTTCTCTGTTTTATCTGTGTCTCTGTCTGTTTCACCTTCTCTCTCTCTCTCTGTCGCCCTTCCTGATTTACCTTTCTTTTTCTTCTCTCCTCGTTCCAAACTCATCTCTCTCAGAAGCTGTTACGTTTTTGACCAATGATCCTATGAAGACAGTTTCCGTTTGGTTGGATTTACTGCACCAACCAGATGACTTACAGTCGTCTATGACCTATTACTGCAGATCGTGTTTGAGGGCCAGCCGGGGCACAGGTAGCCGTGGGGACATTGCCATTGATGACATCTTGCTGGAAACATGGCTCCTGTCCGAGACCAGAGTAACGTACCCCCCTTTCCCTTCTGGATGTGAGTGTTCCCACGTGTAGGTCTTTCCGGGTTATCGAATCATAGCCAGGTAGACATGCCGACATGTATCTAGCTAAATATTCCTAAATTTCCCTAACAAAAGACAAGTTTGCTGATTAACGGGTTTCCCTTCCTTACTAATGCAAGCAATATCTAATCGTAATGTTACCAGTGTCAAGATGTAGGCGACCAATGGTAGCAGTTTTCTGATCACAGTGTTACCAATTAAGTGTCAAGATGGAGGCGACCAATGGAAACAATAGCTCTCTGGTCACACTGTTACCAATAGAAGTGTCAAGATGTAGGCGACCAATGGAAGCAATATCTGATCACAATGTTACCAATTAGTGTCAAGATGTAGGCGACCAATGAAAAGAAATATCTGATCACAATGTTATCACTTAGTGTCAAGATGTGGGTGACCAATAGAAGCAATAGCCCTCTGATCACAGTGTTACCAATCAGTGTCAAGATGTAGACGACCAATTGGAGCAATAGCCCTCTGATCACAGTGTTACCAATCAGTGTCAAGATGTAGACGACCAATGGAAGCAATAGCCCTCTGATCACAGTGTTACCAATCAGTGTCAAGATGTAGACGACCAATAGAAGCAATAGCCCTCTGATCACAGTGTTTCCAATCAGTGTCAAGATGTAGACGACCAATGGAAGCAATAGCCCTCTGATCACAGTGTTACTAATTTACCAATCAGTGTCAAGAATAGTGTCAAGATGTAGGTGACCAATGGAAGCAATAGCCCTCTGATCACAGTGTTACTAATTAGTGTCAAGATGTGGGTGACCAATGGAAGCAATAGCTCTCTGATCACAGTGTGACTAATTAGTGTCAAGATGTGGGTGATCAATGGAAGCAATAGCTCTCTGATCACAGTGTTACTAATTGAGTGTCAAGATGTGGGTGAGTGTTACTAAATGGAAGCAATGGAAGCTAGCTCTAATCACAGTGTTACTAATTGAATTCGACAGTGTCAAGATGTGGAGTGACCAATGGAAGCAATAGCCCTCTGATCACAGTGTTACTAATTAGTGTCAAGATGTGGGTGACCAATAGAAGCAATAGCCCTCTGATCACAGTGTTACCAATCAGTGTCAAGATGTGGACTGACCAATTGAAGCAATGGCTGTCACTGATCACAGTGTTACTGTGTTACCAATTAGTGTCAAGATGTAGAGATGTGGGTGACCAATTGACCAACGAGAAGCAATAGCTGTCTGATCACAGTGTTACTAATCAGTGTCAAGATGTGGGTGACCAATTGGAAGCAATAGCTCTCTGATCACAGTGTTACCAATTAGTGTCAAGATGTAGAGATGTAGCTCTCTGCACGACCAATGGAAGCAATGGCTTTCTGATCCCAAATGTAACCAATGAATGTCAAGGCTCATTGACAAATGGATGTAAGCAATGAATGTCATAGCTTTCTGATCACAATGTAACCAATGAATGATGTCAATGTGAGTGTTCTATCCACTGAGAACAATCGTCTTTCCTTTGAAATGTCATGTTAGGTGTTTCTTTCTAAATCCCGGTTTTCACCTGCAGGTTATTGCAACTTCGAGCACGGCACCTGCACTTGGCTGAACACCCAAAGGAATGATGACTTCGACTGGGTCATCCACCATGGCAGCACGTCCACCGGCCATACTGGACCTCAGAGTGACCACACAACCGGAAAAGCCTCAGGTGGGTACGGTAACCTTCAAAGCGGATCAGGAAGCCACGTCTATAAATCCTTCTTCAATCACCACACAGAGGAATCTTAATGTGTGAGTGAGTGAGGTTAGTTTTACTTCGCACTCAGCATTTTTACAGCTATATGGCGGCGGACGGTAAATAATCGAGTCTGGGCCAGACAATCCAGTGATGAACAGTATCAGCAACGATCAGCGCAATTGGGATACGATGAATTGTGTCAGCCAAGTCAGCGAGCATGACGACCCGATCCCGTTCGTCGCCTCTTACGACAAGCATGGGTTACTGAAGACCAATTCTAACCCGGACCTTCACGGGTCAGAGGAATCTTAAACAATGTCACTATGTTTTGCTCGGATCGTCGTAAAAACCTCAATACAAATGTACTTATATTACATGTATAGTCTTGTTAGTGAAGCATTATTTACACGACATCGCTGGGAACATGTAGAGTCCTATTCTTGGTGGTACCTTCGTATATTTTCAGGATTATTTATGTCATTATTTATGATTAAGATAAGTAAATACAGCAAAGAGTTTGGGTGATCATGGTACAATCAGGCTAGTTAGGCTCATCATCAGGGCTCTTGCCCCGTTTACACGCAGTCCAGAAAGAGAATGGGACTTCTCCCAGCAACCGCTGTGTTATCGAAACCACCAGGAAGTGAGGATGTGCAGACTCCACAACACTGCCGCCTTCTGAATTACCCAGAGTGTCAGAAGGGTTGTGCTCTTGGCAGCAATCCCGGGGAATCTTCCGATTTGTGTCAAGAGATTAGTAGGTATCAAACTTAAGGTACCACGAACACTTATTATTATTATCACCATTATGGATATAAAAAGAGCTTTGGTGTCTTTACAGGTCACTACATGTACATTGGAGTCAAGTGCCCACAGACAAAGGGGGACAGAGCCCGATATGTCAGCGAATCCTTCAAAATGAGTTCCCAGAGGAAATGTTTCCAGTTTTGGTACAGCATGAAGGGCAGTGACATCGGCACCCTCCGCGTCTACGTCGTCACGGGGCTGACGCAGACAGTGGCATGGCAGCTAAGCGGGCCACAACAGTCAACGTGGATGCTCGCTAGAGTGCCTGTCTACTCCCCCAAAAAGAATTTTAAAGTGAGAATCACCCGCATTGCAATATTCATATGCGGAGAATTTCTAAATCCTGGTCGAAAGCCTTGGATGACTTGTTATGTTTATTAACTAATACGGCATATATCTATTTCAGTTCATAATTGAAGGCATCGTTGGAAATGGAGTCAACGGTGATATTGCAATCGATGATATGGCAGTCAATACAATGAATTGTGGAGGTTTGTATATGGATTATGTTATTCCTTGGAGTTTATAATTTTTCGTGTCATTTTAGGGGCGGTGGGGTAGCCATGTGGTATAAAGCTTTCCCTCGTCACGCCGAAGACCCGGCTCGATTCCCCACATGGATACAATGTGTGAAGCCCATGCTTGGTGTCCTACTCCGTGATAATGCTGGAATATTGCTAACAGCGGCGTAAAACTAAACTCACTCACTCCTGTCATTTTACGACATAACATTTTAACCGAAAGTAGGCGACGTTTTACAAATTTGTGTGAATACATGTCGTTACTGCTCCCCTTAAATGCTACGGAATGCTGTCGCGCACTTTGACCAAGACGAATACTTGCGTATATGGAAACAGAGATTTATCGCCGTTAAGGGAAACCGAACCTAAAGTTAACTGACGACAAGTTTATAGCACCATTTACATAGTACTTTCTGTGATGTTTAATATCAAACAAGGACATGTGTTTTGTTTTAGTGTCGCCATCAAATGCTAGGCCTCCATCAGCAACAACGACAGCCGCCACCACGTTAAAGCCGACGTCAACAACTCCGAGGAAGTCCACTGCCCATGTTCCACCATGTAGGTATACGTTTTCGTCGACACACTGAACCTCTACTGTTGCATAGAGGAAACATATAACATTTGTAGGGCATGGAGGTTAGAGTCGACGGTGGAAAACGTTTGGTCCATTTTACTAAAAATGCTTGGTCAATATTACTGATAATATTTAGCCCATATTACTAAAATGTCACGGATTTCAGCGTCAAAGCCTGTCTCCTGCACCTTTGACAACGACTTGTGCAGCTGGAGTCAAATGTCGAACGACAACTTCAACTGGACACGACATCATGGATCTACCTCATCCGGCGGGACTGGACCCCAGAGGGATCACACAACAGGCAGTACGTATACAGTGTTATGAGTGCAACCATGCTTGTCGTAAGAGGCGACTAATGGGGTTTGATGGTAAGGCTCGCTGACTTGGTTGTTGTAAATAATCGAGTCCTGGACCACACAATCCATTGATCAACAGCATGAGCATCGATCTGCGCAACTGGGAACCGATAACATGTGTCAACCAAGTCAGCGAGCCTGACCACCCGATCCCGTTAGTAGCCTCTTACGACAAGCATGGGTTACTGAAGACCAATATTCTAACCCGGACCTTCACGTGTCCACTAATTTGTGCATATTCCTACACCGTGTAAAACCTACTGATTGACATTGTATATTGTCTTGGCGTGTTGATAACAATTGGAAACAGTAATAGTTAGAAAAAGAAAGGTATTATTGAAATAGTGGTACAGTTGCAATCTGAGTGTATGGTTAATATCGTTACCTTCCAGCAACGTAGAACTCTTTTTAACATCAACACATGACGACACAGCCAGTAACCTATACCATGATCAAGGTCCACTCGAAGTTGTTCATATACTTCCTGTTGATAGATGTTGTGCGTACACACCCTGAATGGATATTTATTCGGGCAAGTAGGATGAATTTTGGATGTGAACAAATGACGGACAGTGATATTCAGCACTTACAGTTTTTTTATAATCAATAGTGCAAGTAACCGTTGATATTTGAACTTGTCATCAATATATTGACATCAAGCCATGGGCAGTTCGATCAAACAGACTCTGTTGCTCATCCTTTCAGTCATTGGATTGTCTGGTCCAGACAGCTCACAAACCGACGGAATATGCCTTAAATATTGCTGATTACGGTGTACAGACATTCCCAAACTGTGGGCGTGATATTAGTTCGTGATATTGACCATAAAGCTGGAATATTGCTGAATGCGGCGTAAAACTCAACTCACTCACTCACTCGTGATATTGATGGAACATTTAAAACTTCAGCATATAACCCAGATCATTCACTCATTCATCGATCCGTTTCTGAATTGGTCTCCAGCAACCCATGCTTGCCGTAAGAGGCTACTAAAGTCAGGCTTGCTTGACACATGTCATCGTATCCCAATTGCGTAGATCGATGATCATCCAGATGTCCAGATTCGATTATTTACAGACCCCCGCCATATAGCTGGAATATTGCTGAGTGCGGCATTAAACAACAAGCCAACAAACGCTCAAACTCAAACACCATTACTCACAGAGTTCCTTTGTGTTTCAGGGGGTTCTATCTCTACACTGAGGTCAATGGACAGTCGGTCAACAAGACAGCCAGACTTCAGAGCAAGTCCATCACCTCTCGCACGATGACCAAGTGTTTCTCTTTCTGGTACCACATGCACGGCGACCACATCGGCACCCTCAACCTCTACATCATGTCCACGCCAACCATCGGCAGCCCAGTCTGGACCAAGACAGGAGCCCAGGGCTTGAACTGGAAACAAGGCGCTATCACCGTGACCAAAAGGAACACACCATATAAAGTAAGTGAGTGAGTGAGTGAGGTTGGTTTTACACCGCTTTTAGCAATATTCCAGCTTATCACGACGGGGACTCATGAAATACGCTTCACACATTGTACCAATGTACTGACTGACTGAGTTTAGTTTTACGCCGCTTTTAGCAATATTCCAGCAATATCACGGCGGGGGACACCAGAAATGGGCTTAACACATTGTGCCCATATGGGGAATCGAACCCGGGTCTTCGGCGTGACGAGCCAACGCTTTAACCACTAGGCTACCCCACCGCCCCTAAAGTGAATAGAATAAAGTGTACGACCTTGACGTATATGTTTTACATTCAAGCTTTATTCATAGATTTACACAGCTTTTGGCAATAATAAGCAATATCATGTCTGGGGACACCAGGAATGGTTTCACACATTGTACCTATGTAGGGAATTGAACCCGGGTCTTCGGCATGACGCGCACGTTTTAACTACTAGGCTACCCTCTTCAATGTCACTATTGCCAATGTATCTTCATGTCCAAGTGAGTTACGATAGTCCTGGTAATTTAACCACAGTTACGTCATATATTCTTAACCCGTGAAGATCCGTGTTAGAATTGGTCGTCAGCAGCCCATGCTTGTCGGAAGAGGCAACTAACGGTATCGAGTGGTCAGGCTCGCTGACTTGGTTGACACATGTCATCGTATCCCAATTGCATTTGATGCTCATGCTGTTGATGATTGGTTTGTGTGGTCCAAACTGGATTATTTACAGACCTCCGCAAACTCAACCAATCAATCAATCGTAACCATATTTTGCTGTATTGAAAGTTTGTTGCTATGTTCCAATGTTGTTACAGATTCTGATTGAGGCTGTGACCGCTAACGGAAATAGGGGAGACATTGCCATAGATGACGTAAAGTTGGCAAACGGGACATGCACAGGTATATTGTATAACAGTTCAGTGGTACAACTGACTGCTTGCTATCATCAGATGCATAGTACGACAAGGATACTGTTGATAAAAAATAGCTACAAAGGACAAAACTCAAGTACCTGTTTTTTACAACTTTGAATAAAAAGAAATAAAAAGGAACGTCTGTGAAACGTCTTGTAGGTTTCGGATGTAATAACTAATAAGCATAAGTTTTTATGAACATTATGTGATAGTGATAATACCAGCTTTTCGTGGGGTGTGAAATTACTCCTCTCTCCCCAGGAACAACTGGACCGCCTGTCCACACCACTGTCCACCCAGGCCAGGTCGTCAGGAAATGTGACTTTGAAGCTAAAGCAATCTGTGGCTACACTCAGGACAAGACGGACAAATTTGACTGGACATGGACGTCACATACGACATCCAGCTACGGCACAGGACCCAGCAACGACCACACCTACGGAACAACAAGCGGTAGGTATCTGTGAGGTTACGAAACCATGCTTTCCCGGAAGTATGGTAACAATGAAAGTTTGGGGTTGGGTGGAGCTTCATGCACTAACATATAGCCATGGTTCCATTTTCATTTTCGCCTTACAAAAGGTCTCTGGATTTGTGTGTTATTACAGTTTGTTCCCCCAAAGAGGTATCACTGAGTGAGTGAGTGAGTTGGGTTTTACGCCTCTTTTAGCAATATTCGAGCAATTGTGGGGAATCGAATCCGGACCTTCGGGGTGACGAGCAAATGCTTTAACCATTAGGCTACCCCACAGCCTCAAGGTATCACTGAAACGCCACGATACAACTGAAACAACTGACACATTGACGTTAACCTAAACTCACTCGTGGTCGTCTACGACAATGGATTCCCTACGACGTCGTTGATCTGATGTATAGGAATATAGGGATGATATAGCGATTTCAATTTAATTATCCGTAATTAGCTTGAATGGTTTGAAGGGAAAACTTTAAAATAACATGGTCGGAAGTGTTTTGTGAATGTGTATCTAAAACATTTTAACATAGTTTGAAGATTATATCACTTTTGATAGAAACATCAGTGCACCACCCTGTATTTTTACCAATTAATTGTGTCTGAACTGGAATTCTAAACTCTTTCCAAAATATAACCTTTATAATTTGATAGAGCAAGCATTTAACTTTTCAAAAACGAAAACATCATTGAAATCACCATGTACTTTAATTAGGATAACTGCCTATATTTAAAACAGGTATTTTCCTGTCCTAAAACTAGTTACCTTATTTTGAAAAGTGAAAGTAATCATTGATTGTTATGTGGCTATAAATTCGTTATTTATTGTGAATGGATGAAAGTTTGTAAACTAAGATTTAGGAGGCAAGGAGAAGTGTTTATTCCATACAATAAACTCAAAATCATAAAAGATTCATTCCAAAATCTTATTTATGGGGATTTTTCAATTTTTGTCTATTAGCAATCTGAATTGTTGGAAAAAGGTCTGAATTATGCAAAACTAAAGCTTACTTGATGAGTAAATGTCATCTTGGTATATAACAGAATTGTTGTTTTTAGTCCAAACTTAATTTAATTGTGTAGTTTGAGCAGGAGAGGATAGTTATCTTCGGTAAAACTCAGTCCCATCACATTTTCATCAACATATTCCTTCATAAAGAAGAGAAAAGGTTATGGTATTTGTAAAAATGTCAATGGATAAAGCTTCTTTAACTATAGGTTAATTAACTTTATGGCTATACCCTAACTTTTCTGTAGCATCACATCTTGTTTTCAGAATAGGGTGGTGCTTAATTCATGCATGGGTGTATATAAATGGACAAATATGACAATTTTAAATTGAGCTGACTACGTTGGTTAACATTTCGATACAACCAACCCAGGCTGGAAATACAGAGACGAACTTGAAAAAAATGGATGTACACCTTTTATTTACTTGACAACAAACAGTATTTTGTGAGGTTCAAGAGTAAACGGATAACTGAAGCTGGGGATAACAGGAGTTAAAGGACTGTTTTAATCTCTTTTCGTTCAGGTCACTATCTGTACACCGAGGCAACTAACCGAGCAAATGGAGACATAGCACGCATCTTGTCGCCGACCTATCATGACAGCCAGGCAATGTGTGTCAATTTCTACTACCACATGTACGGATCTATGATGGGAACTTTCAACGTCTACGCTCAGGTATGTCAGATTCATATTTTCATAGCTTTTATCTTTCTTGATTGTAAACTTCCGATTCATGTATACCTCAAAAAATATTATCTTCAGAAAAAATGAATTTTGAATACTGAAATTAAAAGTATTTGTATATAAGTATTGGGTAATCCTGGTATTAATATTCATTTACTTCTGTTAAATATATGACCTCAAGAATGTTGTCAAGGTTAGTGATGACCTATTCAGAGAATGGCCGGTTGTGATGATGTATATTCCGTACAGTACACGTGGTCTAGATAAGTAACACTATTATTTGTTGCAGGTTGGAAACAACACAGGTCGGCCATTATTTTCACGTCGTGGTAACCAGGGCAACAAATGGACAGTTGGTCAGGCAACTGTCCCAGCATCCACTGCAACTTCCGGATATCGGGTGCGTCTCTCTCTCCTCATTCACCAACCCCCCACATCCCCGAACCCGATCCCTTTCTACTCTGATAAGTCAGAACCAGGAATTACAGCGGAATTGTTTGTAGAATAAGCAATGGTGGTCAACGAACAGTTACACACATTTTATATCAGATGTATATGTATTTTATAATGTATGTAATGTATGGTAACAAGAAATCAGCTTATCACAGATCACTCTTAACTAACAATATGTATAACGTACTGTATATCGTGCGACTTAGTCACCAGGAAAGGAGGCATTCATACAGTAACCCATTTGGATTTCAGATGGTGTTTGAAGGATCCCGAGGCTCAGGCTACAAATCAGACATAGCACTGGACGATGTCAGTTTCAAAGTGGGTTCATGTTCAAATCCTGGTAAGTTGAATACAGCTTCTAAACTTTGTACATAGAATAAGGTTCCCAGTGGTCTACTCAACGGTAGCACATGGAGTAGACGACGGGTCCTCTTTTCATAAAACATAAAAGGCAGAGCGGGCGAAACTTATCGATAATCCGAAATATCGCCGATAGGGAAGAATATTTATGATTATCGATAAGAAACTTGTGTTATCAATAATATCGTACATTAACTTTTGTGATAGAAATAGTTTCTCACACAATATACAAACATAGGAGTTTATTCATGAGAGCTTCTAAATTATGTTCAGGACGCTGTTTTGTAAATAATCAATGCAAAAACATGTCGCTGGTCACCAGTGATGTAAAATTTATTCTTTTCTTTCAGACAATTTTGCTCAAAGTTACGTCTCCGATATGTATCGATAATTGATCGATATTTAGTTAACGATTATCGATTTCTATGATCTATATCGATAGCCAGCCATAATATAAGGACAGAATAATTTACAGAATGTAAATTCACCTAACCATGAAATATTTTTGTTTTGAATGAGAACTGTAATAAGCGCCATCTTGAAATTGAAATATTTTCTCTGTGTAAAATAGTAGTTTTGAAGTTTAGGTCTCTCTGTAATAGCGTGTGGTAATCTCAGGTCGAGATTGTGTATAATATTCAAATCTGTTTGTACGAGGAATTAGTTCTCTGTAAATGTGTTCATCTACAGGTGACTGCACGTTCGAATCCGGTCTGTGCACTTGGAAGAACACTGCCAAAGGAGATCAGTTTGACTGGACAATGGACTCCGCCGGGACCTCCACTACCTCTACTGGACCTTCCACTGACCACACGCTCGGTACACGACAAGGTGAGAAGTGCAGTATTTCACATGGAACGCAATTTATGTTTTTTTTCGTGATTTAGCTAGTAACGGTAAAAATAAATGAGGAAAGGAAAGACGATTTGCGGACAGTATGTTCACCACAACCTTCCACACATCAAAAGGCGAGATGAGACTATTAGCAGTGTTCATTCTCTATGAAGACGAGATGATATTATTACCAGTTTTTCATTCTTTATGACAACGAAATGACACTATTACCAGTTTTTCATTCTTTATGAAGACGAGATGACACTATTACCACTTTTTCATTCTTTATGACAACGAAATGACACTATTACCAGTTTTTCATTCTTTATGAAGACGAGATGGCACTATTACCAGATTTTCATTCTTTATGAAGACAAGATGACACTATTACCCCTTTTTCATTCTTTATGATCACGAGATGACACTTTTACGAGTTTTCATTCTTTATGAAGACGAGATGACACTTTTACAAGTTTTTCAGTCTTTTTGAAGACAAGATGACACTATTACCCCTTTTTCATTCTTTATGACAATGAAATGACACTATTATCAGTTTTCATTCTCTATGAAGACGAGATGACACTATTACCAGTTTTTCATTCTTTATGAAGACGAGATGACACTATTACCCCTTTTCATTCTTTATGACAACGAAATGACACTATTACCAGTTTTTCATTCTTTATGAAGACGAGATGACACTATTACCAGTTTTTCATTCTTTATGAAGACGAGATGACACTATTACCAGTTTTTCATTCTCTATGAAGACGAGATGACACTATTACAAGTTTTCATTCTTTATGAAGACGAGATGACAATTTTACCAGTTTTTCAGTCTTTTTGAAGACACGATGACACTATTACCTTTTTCATTCTTTATGATCACGAAATGACACTATTACCAGTTTTTCATTCTTTATGAAGACGAGATGATACTGTCACCACTTTTTCATTCTTTATGAAGACGAGATGATACTGTCACCACTTTTTCCAGTTTTTTATTCTTTAAACTTGACCTTAAGTTATGATATTTGCAACCTCAATGTTTACCTATTCTTTGACACCTGGTATCATCATTGTACTTCCACATTTTTCTCGAGTGTTGGGTCGTGAAGGTGTCGCTCTTGTTTTGGTCTCCTCTCATATTTTCCCTTGCTTCAAAGATACCAGTTCGACAATGAAGTCACGAACGTCGCCGAGTCAATGTATAGGATAAATTAGCACATACACATATTGTTTTCAATTTTCCAGTTTTCATTTTGTGTACAATATAAAAGCAATAGTTCTCACTTCAGACACGTCGGTATATTTGTGTTCAAAAGCATGCTGAATCACGACGTGTCAGAAGAGAAGAGTCCCTAGTATGGTGATCAGCCTGCAGTTGCTGGTGATCTATAGCCCGAATTTATATTGCATTGCTGTCTATAGTGATATATGTTTTATAGTAGCGTACTATTTTTAAATCAAGAGCTGTGATAAGTTTTACTGACCTTTGATGACTGTTTTTTACGTTCTAAATGTATTGAATTTAATAATGATATGAATTAAATTGTTCACGTCACGATATGGCTGAAATATTACCGATGTGACGCTAAATATTAACTCACTCACTCACTTACTCAGAAGAAAAGAAACAAAGTGTCATCGGTAATATGACAGAGTTTCACGACCATGACAATTCCCTGAGTTCATAAGGTTTACAATTGTGTGTTTGCAGGCAAGTACCTGTACATAGAAACCTCGGCCCCAAGACTGACCGGAGACAAGGCGTGGCTGGTCAGTGAGAGCTTCCCCCGTGTCACGTCCAGCGGCAGGTGCGTCAGCTTCTGGTACAGCATGTACGGGGCCACCGTCGATTCTCTCAACATCTACATCAGGGTACCCGGTAAGTCAGACTTCAAGAACTATTCGATGGCCATAATGGTGTATTCAAATAAGAAATGGTATTTTTAAAAGTAAAATTAATAATGATTTGATAACAAGATTATCCAGGTTTAAATAATGTTACAGTGTTAATTGTTAGTTATTTAGACTTGCCAATGTAACACAATTGTTCATTTATATGTAATATTCTTACATGTCAGTCATCTAAATTAACATTCGTTATGGCTCCTATCTGATGCCAATTCGAAATAATAGTATATAAATGTATCATCCAGTGAACATCACACAAGGGTTATGTAACAAATTAAATGAGTGTCTCCCCTTAAGTTTATCATGTGATCAATGTCATCAGAAGGTGCGAAGATGTTAAACGAGTTCATGAAAATTCCTCAACAGGGCGAACTGACTACATGATCTGGCATCAGTCCGGTAACCAAGGCAACGGCTGGTTCAATGGCCAGGCACCAATCACCGAAAAGAGAAAGAGTTACAGCATCGTGTTTGAAGGCGTCCGGGGCAGGAGTTACTCTGGAGACATCGCGATTGACGACATCACCTTCACGACGTCAAATTGTGGAAGTAAGTCCTTAATTGGGTGTCAAATGATTGTCTGTATAAAGTAGACAGCTATTCCATTATATACGCTTCATGTATACTATGTTTATGTTTCTTTTGTGATAATAACGCTTTAAGTATTTTTTTCTATTGAATCGAATATAACCCAAATTAACCTTCACCTTTGTTTTTGTATGCATAAATTGTATGTATTGTCTTCTCTTGTACCACCGAGTGGTTGAATAAGAATAAAGGAATTGAAATTGAAAATATTCCCAATTGGTTCCATTATAAAAACCCTCTCTTATATCATCATAAAATGTATATGACCCAGTACTTCAATCTGAATGTAGGTCCAAAGAGCGATTGATTTCATGACGTAGATACATGGTCTCGCATATTCTCTACATTTGCTTTCCTATTGTGCAAATAACACTTAACGTCATTGTACCTGTTGAAAATAGAGACAGGTGGAATCAATTTCCTGTCATGATACATCAATATATCATTTATTTGACTCAGTACTTCCGCCAAATGCCACTGCCGCTCCCCAGACAACGGCTCAAGTGACGACACAGGCGGTGGGAAAGGGAGCTTTTGACTGCGACTTCCAGAACGACTTCTGTGGCTGGGTCCAGAGTAGTAAAGCGGACCAATTTGACTGGACGAGGCACCGGGGTAGCACAGGCTCTGCAGGAACTGGCCCCACATCTGATCATTCCTTAGGCAACTCCAGTAGGTCTCCTGGAAATACTATTGCATTATGCATGTTCCAACAACCTTCCCCACATGAGTACAATGTGTGCAGCCTATTTCTGGTGTCCCCCGCCGTGGTATAGCTGGAATATTGCTAAAAGCGGCGTAAACCCATACTCAGTCACACACTCCAACAACCAGATTTTGCGGAATGTTTAATACTATGTAAGCTAAACATTCACCCTTTGTTTCCAAAAAGTGAATGTTAGTATTTGTTCTTCACTAATGAACTACTGAAAGATGAATCATTTAGTGAACTATAAACGGACACACCGGAATCGAACCCTGGTCATTGGCGTAACGAGGGAACGTTTTAACCACAAGCTACCCCTATGCTTGTCTTACAGACGGCTACTACATCTACATTGAGACGTCAGGCTCAATGAAAACCGGAGACAAGGCTCAGCTGTTCAGTCCCCGGGTTCAGGCAGGCCAGAGCTGTATCACCTTCTGGTACAACATGTACGGCAGCAACGTCGGCGCCCTCAACGTCTACGTTCAAACAGGAGCAGCCATTCCATCCACTCCTACCTGGAAGAGGACTGGCACTCATGGAACTCACTGGCGGATGGGGCAGTTCTCAGTCAACGTCAAGACCCCTTTTAACGTAAGGATTTAGTTGATTGGTTTGTTGTTTAAACCCGCATTCAACAACATTTCAGCTATATGGCGGCAGTCTGTAAATAATCGCGACCAGACAATCGGGTGATCAACATCATGAGCATCGATCTACTCAATTGGGAACCGATGACATGTTTCAGCGAGAAGTCAGTGAGCCTTATCATCCGGCCCGTTAGTTGCCTCTTACAAGCATGGGTTACTGATGATCAATTTTAACCCGGATCTCCACAGGTCTGAGTGAGCTTGGGGTTAACGGGAATCACATTACGTAAGAGTATAACTCCACTAGATACGGCAGCAGGTGGGTGAAATAAATGCTGATAATTCATATTACATATTCAGATTTACGGGATTCACATTATGTAAGAGTGTAGGCGGCGGAAGGTGGGGAGAGTTAATGGTCTTTGTTGCTATATCTTGTGTTTACTGTGTGTAGCCCCACAAACGTTATGTGAAAACGTGTTGCGTGAACGCATTTTACTTACTCGTGAGGAACACGGGTATTAAATGGTTATCGTTCTCCAGGAATGGGAACATAGCCCTAGTATTATTCAACATGTTCGGTTGGTGACATTCTGATCGATGTTGCAGATGGTGCTTGAAGGCGTGAGAGGCAACGGCTATCGTGGAGACATCGCCATAGATGACGTTAACATCGCCAACGGCTCTTGTTCAGCAGGTGATGAAGTGTATTAATGCATGAAATCTCATCTCTCGCAACAAATATTATCAGTTCTATCGCACCATCAAACGTTTAGACTCACTTAAAGCACTCACTATATGTTGTGTATATACATATGGTTACATCGAAGATGAATTTGTTCACTAACTTGGGGGAGCCAACTGTAAACCTTACGCATATGAATAGCACGAGGATCATGCATCATATTGCTGAAAAGCATGTGCAAATATCGTGTATGTGAACAGCTGTGTTTTGGTGTAAAGTTTTGTTAAGAATTCGCCAATTTTCACTGACTTTCATCATTTATCGAACTCATGACAATAATCCTTTCAAAGTTACGAATTTGTTTTACAATACATCAGTTCATATGTAAACAGTACCTTTAAATAGTATGGAATATTTTGCAAAATCTATTTTGAACAGTTGACTGAAGTAAGTGGCTACATTTACACTAGTAAGTCTAAACTTTTGATGGGTAGTATACATTACATATGAAGAATGTATATCATTGTCCCTTGCCATGTTCAGATTCAGGAAGCGGAATCACATCTGTTTTAAATGGCAGTAGAGGAAAAAGGAGGTCACAATGCTACAGTCTGTTTGACAAGAAAGTGTCCCATGAATTGCTAGATATACCAGTTTAGAAAAGTAGTTAATAAATATACTATTCACACTTTGATAAGGATCAAATCATTGATTCAACAAGAAACTATGATGTGGGGTCAAATTTGGTTTAAATACCCCAAAGCCTATTGTAAGCATGGATCCTATGTTTCAGTTTGTCATTTCATCTTGTGGATCCCATACCTGCAATTGACAGGTGTTGTGTACTTGTCAATGACTCGTTCCATGATTTGCAAAATGGTTGATTCGTGCCATGAAAACCATGTTTATGGTTAATCATGTATCAAGTGCATAAGGTTAGGTTAAAGTGACTGTCAACAATTATGTTTATAATGATGATAGTTTGTTTAACAACCTTTCTGTGATGCATGACAATATCTAATAGATGAAAAGGTGTTTGGGTATAGGTTACTCCTGAACATCTTGCCTCGTAATATTTATTAACTACCTTTCTAAACTGATATATTTAGCAATTCATGGGGACACTTTCTAGACAAACAGATTGTAAATACAATGGTTTACAATGCTAAATTAATGCAAACAAGTCATCAACGAAAACAAAGGTCGTTAACAGATTAACTACTAATGTCAATGATACAGGTTGTATATTTTATGAAACTGATACATTTACTTCGCTGACAAAAGCATATCCCAAAAGTATTCATGACCCCTTACTATTTTCGTTCAGCATGTCAACATTATGAGTATGCATCTCCTCAGGATCAGCGAATGTTAAATCATTTTCTCAAGCTGTACTCGTTTGTGGTGGGAAAGTAACACATACTGAAAACTAGGATTATTTTGTAGGTCACAATGAAACATATCAATATTAGTCAGTCTTGCCCATTAGTTCACGTAAAGCATCTATTGAAAACAATACCTTGTATATTTAACTATGCCTGGATCCTCTGGCCTCTGGATTCAGTTCCAGGTACGACCAAAGTCTGATCCTTGACCATCGCTGAATCGCTTCTTTTTGGTTTCATCCAGCTAGTGGACGTCTACAACATGCGTCACCTAGGGTCTCCTCAAAGCCAAGCTTACATGATGTTTCTAAAATACTCTCTGTCACTCACAAATTGATCGTTCATCTTACACAGGAACAACTGTGGGCCCCTCGTCAAAACCAGCCGCTGACAAATGCAACTTTGAAGCCAGTAACCTATGTGGGTTTTCACAAGATCATTCTGACAAGTTTGACTGGTCTCGGACCACGGGGTCAACTTCTTCACGTGGCACTGGACCATCGAGTGACCACACCTATGGGACAAGATTAGGTATGAACGTCAACCCGTTGTGTTGCAGGCGCGTAGCAAGCCAATGTTTCCGTGTAAGCCCAATAGGTTGCAAAGCTTTATATTTAGATAGTATTGAGGGCTTGCCCAACCGTTTTACAAACAAGCATGTGTAAGCCCGGGCATTTTGTTCATAATGGTAGCTACGCCCTGGTTTGACAACTATGATGTTTCTCGGTGTGGGTAGCAGAACATTATACATCAGTTTCCAAAGTTTTAACAATCATTTCCTGCTATTTGAGTGGTTCTTCAGGTGTCTAACGGTAAATTGGTTCCTCGAGAAGCGCTCCAACCAGGCCTGGTTGTCGAAGTCTTTTTGTTTCCGTTACGGATATGGTGGTAGTTAAGTGCTCGTCGCACTAAAACCTGTTCTTGTACAATATGCCCTCCTTCCTGACCCAGGTCACTACATGTACATTGAGACTTCCTCACCTCGACGACCCAATGATGTTGCTCGACTGAACTCCTTCATATTAACTGGACCCACCTCACCAACATGCTTCACCTTCTGGTACCACATGTATGGAAGCTCGATTGGTAGTCTGAATGTCTATGTCATGAGGAATGGTGCCAGGGGTTCTCCTGTATGGCATATGTCAGGTAAGACGTGAATAACAGTAAAAGCTTTTGGCCAATACCATATAGATCAGCAGTTATATATTAATAATTCCCACTACCCACTTTGGGTACGGGTGAATGGATCGAGTTACATACTTAGTAAAGAACAGATCAGCTGGTCGTGGGTTCGAATCTATGGCATCGATCGTGATTGGCCATTTCAGTATCATGCCCATTGTCATAGCTTCTATCAACTTGCCAAAGAATGTATTGAACCCATCCTACTCACTAACTCATCCACTCGTTCACAGGCAATCAAAGGAAACTCATGGAACGTCGCAGAGGTCTCACTCAAGACTGTATCAGGCAGCACGCCCTACCAAATTGTCTTTGAGGGCATTGTTGGGACGTAAACTACCTGGGTGATATTGCGATCGATGATTTCAGCGTGACGACAGGTTCCTGTTCAACTAGTGGTAAGTCTCAGGATTAATATCGTCAATGATTGATGCTCGGGCTAAAAAAACCAACACTATAATACAATACACATTATTATACTTCGAAAATCCCCATTTAAAATCCCCATGGAAAGGGACAAAATTATCATATTGAACCGAATATCAGAAAATGAGTGGTTGGTAGTTTTTTTTGAGACTCAAATTTGGCTCTAATGATCCTGGAGCGTTGGTCATGGATAGAATATAGGACTACATCTTCACTCCAGAGTAACCAGGAACGTCGCATGATGTTTTCTTGGAGTTTCACATAACTTCTGGCTGAAATTCTGCTAAAAGGAGTAGTGCCCTGTCCACTCATTTAAAGAGCCAGAACATGACATCATATCTTTTATCATTTTGATTTGACTTGCCAAAATATTCTAATTAGGTTTCTATATTTTCAGTGAACTGCACCTTCGACAGCGGACTTTGCTCGTGGCGTAATGACGATACCGATAAGTTTGACTGGACTCTCAACAAAGGCACGACGGGCACTGGAGGCACTGGACCAACAACTGACCACACCAGTGGACACGGTAATGTTAGAATGTATTGTGTTTCAAACTATCTTTTTCTCTTCATGCCCTTTCAAGTGACATCTTGTATTACGAAAAGCCATAATCAGTTAGAATAATTACTTTGTACCAATTTGCAGCGTCATCACAAATCACAATATGTATAAACGACGTTATTTCAAATATATCGCTACAATAGCTTTGCAGAGCCAATTTGAATTCTTACGGAAAACGGATATGAAATTACTGATAACTTTAAGTATAAAAGATGATCATTGATATTTATGACCAACACAAATCATGTAGAGATATATTCAAATTATTGAAGACCCAGGTTAGAATTGGTGGTCTTCAGAAACCCTTGTCTTCTCAGTAATTACATGAGTTCTTTGGTGTTCCAGGAGAATATGTCTTCATCGAAGCCTCATCTCCGAGGGTTTTAGGAGACAATGCCCGACTCCTCAGTGCCAATATTCCCGCCTCCAACGCAACCTGCTTCCACTTCTACTACCACATGTACGGCAGCGCGGTTGGAAGACTGTTGGTCTGGTATGAGGCCTCAAACAAATACCCATTACCAATATGGGAACAGGCAGGATCAAAGGGAAACGCCTGGCAAAAGGGCAGATTAAAATACCAACCACCACATATCGGACTTTAAAAGGTACAGTCTACGTTTGTTGCGGGACCAGAAAAATTCTGATATTCGTTAAACGTGTTTTCGGGGGCATATTAAGTATCAGGCAGACTAGCTGCAGGACAATCGAGATTAACAAACTGTGAAAAGTATACGCAAGATAAAACGTTGATTGAGACACATACCGGATGAAAAACGTCAAAGTAGGCGATAAATATTCAGGCATTGGTAATGGTGTATCCGCAGTAGAGCATTTTCTTATATATGAAGGGACATTCATAATTTATGGCGGGGAGGGGGTTAAAGGGGTCACTCATTTGTTCTCAGTAGATAGGGTTGTCGTCAGTTTTGTGCATATTAATATTTAAAACACATGTTTTATATTATTGTGAAAGGGGGCAGGCATTGATTTTGTACATGACATGCAGGGGTCACTTACTTTGTACAAAACATTTTAGGGGGTCATTCCTACATTGTACATGCTTCTCACTAGATTGTCGATTACTTACATTCAGTCTGATCGTAGGATTTAGGTATTCTAAATATTCCAGGTGTTAATCATGTCTCAGTTTACAATGTAAATGACTGCAATATACCCAGTTAAAGTTATAACAGATGTTAATAGTGCTTCTACTTTGTGCAGATCATCGTGGAAGGTATACGAGGGACCAAGCTGGTTAGGAGACATAGGGTTAGATGACGTCACTATTGACAATGCAACTTCATGTCCAAGTGAGTTTCACTATTCCTGGTAATTTTAACCTCAGTTACGTCTTATATTTTTCACCCGTGAAGATCCGAGTTAGAATTGGTTTTCAGTAACCCATACTTGTCGTAAGAGGCGACTAACGGGATCTGGGTGGTCAGACTCGCCGACTTGGTTGACACATGTCATGGTTTCATAATTGCGTAGATCGATTGTCCTACTGTTGGTGATGGAATGTCTCGTCAAGCCTGGATTATTCACAGACCGCTGCCGTCATATTGCTGGATCATTGCTGAGTGCAGTGTTAAACAATAAACATGTACAAATATCATATATTCTGAATTTTCGATAATGAAGACATTTATACAGATTATTTAAGAGTGCACTATTCTATTCATAAAATGCCAAGAAAATTATTCTGAATTGTGTTTCTAAATTATGACAGATGCATTTAGAGTGTCATAATTATTACACTATTTCAACTCTAAAATGAACAAATCAAGGCGCGAAACTCACTGTGCAAAGTAGCCCATCGTAGATGTGCAAGCTTCCTCTACATGTTAGTTCAAATCCGAGACATACCTAAGCTATGATCCACAGGTTGTCAGCAATGTACTAGTATGTTTCAACGATGGCTTTCAACGTCAACGCTACTAGCAACATAGCCATTATGTTGAAACGACGTCAACATCACTTTACTCAATATTTGTATTGTGCTTCATTGATTTCAATACAGCTAAATCTTTACTCAATCTTTACATTGTGCTTCAATGATTCCCAAAACAGCTAATATTTACCCAATCTTTACATTGTGCTTCAGTGATTCCCAGAACAGCTAAATATTTACTCAATATTTATATTGTGCTTCAGTGATTCCCAATAAAGCTAAACCTTTACTCATTATTTATATTGTACTTCAGAGATTCCCAGTACAGCTAAACCTTTACTCAATATTCATATTGTGCTTCAGTGATTCCCAGTACAGCTAAACCTTTACTTAATATTCATATTGTGCTTCAGTGATTCCCAGTACAGCTAAACGATTTACTTAATATTCATATTGTGCTTCAGTGATTCCCAAGTACTGTGCTAAACCTAAACATTTACTTAATATTCATATTGTGCTTCAGTGATTGATTCCCAATACAGCTAAACCTTTTACTTAGTATTCATATTGTGCTTCAGTGATTCCCAGTACAGCTAAACCTTTACTCAATATTCATATTGTGCTTTAGTGATTCCCAGTACAGCTAAACATTTACTCAATATTGTGTATTGTGCATTTTCAGAGATTCCCAATACAGCTAAACATTTACTCAATATTCAAATTGTGCTTCAGTGATTCCCAATACAGCTAAACATTTTACTTAATATTCATATTGTGCTTCAGTGATTCCCAGTACAGCTAAACCTTTTACTACAATATTCATATTGTGCTTCAGAGATTCCCAGTACAGCTAAACCTTTACTCAATATTCAAATTGTGCTTCAGTGATTCCCAATAAACCTACACCTTTACTCATTATTTATATTGTGCTTCAGTGATTCCCAATACAGCTAAACCTTTACTCAATATTCATATTGTGCTTTCAGTGATTCCCAGTACCGCTAAGCCAACAGTGACTCTGTCGCCACCACCCATAGTATTCGCACCATCCCTGGCGACAGGAACAACCACCGACCACTTCCCCATCAACAGCGATACCAGGTCAGTTTCACCTATACCCTAACGGTTCTGCACAATTATGTGATCACTTAGATTCTATGTTTCCCAGCAGCAATAAAACATTGATAGTTTTGTTCACATTCCACACAATGTTATAGATGTGAAGCTGTTGCAGAAGGAAAGATGTCACCGAATAGCCAAGCAAGAAGTGTTGTGACGCCCAGCCATAGACCAGGGTTCGATATTTGTTCGAGTTCATTCATTACCTATGTCCCCTCCTGACTTGAATATGACCTAAAGCAGTTGCTTTTCATCACGCAATCACTCACTCACTCGCTCAATCTTGCAATATGCGTTAGGATCATCAGTGACATTAAGTTGGTTAAGTGTCGTGTGACAGTCACGTGATAGTAACGTGAATGATATTTGAGATTCATCATAGAGAGATCGCTTTATGATTATTATTTTTGACTCATCAGTTAAAATGTAAAGGATACAGAATCAAATTATTTTGAATTAAGTTATGTAGTCATCTGGAGTTTACAGTCACCTCGTGAATATTTTTATTAGAATTTGTAAATTATGTTGACGTTTGATTGGCTGCTTGTGATGTATCGTTAAAAAGTGATAGCGGACGAAGATATACTCCTCGGACACGTTATGCTTGGATATTCCGAGCCGGCAAGTTTTTGAATCATCCTCTTAAGGAGGGCGGTGGGGTAGCCCTAGTGGTTTAAGTGTTCGTTCATCACGCCGAAGGCCCAGGGTTCGATTCCCCACATATAATACAATGTGTGAAACCCATTTCTGGTGTTCCCTCTGTGATATTGCCGGAATATTGCTAAAAACGGCGTAAAACTAACTCATTCACGCATCCTCTTAAGGTCGATCGCCAGGCAGCAACAAATACCATCCTTAACGTCTGTTGGTTGTTTGCGGCTGGGGGATGAAATCGCCGACCTTTCGTTCTCCTATCAAGGACTGACTGACTGACTGAGTTTGGTTTTACGCCGCTTTATGTTATTTGGAAAC